CTAGCTGGGTTCGATGGCTCAGCCTGTAATCCCGTGCTTTGGGAGGCTGAGATGAGTGGATTGTCTGAGTCCGCGGGTTCAAGACCTGCCTGGGCAACTTGGCGAGACCTCATTTTTACAATAAATCAAAAAATTAGCCGGGCGTGGTAGCACGCGCCTGTAGTTCCAGCTCCTTGGAAGGCTGAGGCAGAAGGATCACCGGAGTCCAGCAGTTTGAGGCTGCGGTGGCCGGGAGCATGCCACTGCACTCCGGTCTGGGCGACAGAGTGAGACTCCAACTCAAAAAAAAAAAAAAAGATACATTAGCTAATAGTTCTAGTAAAAAGTATATATTTATATTTAAACCTTTCCTCTCGGATGTCCCCACAGGGGACATAAAGAGATTGCTGGTGATCATGCAAGACAAACTTAAGCACATGCAAATTTTTCAAAAATGTAAGTTTCCTTGAAGTTTTCCATGAAAATTGCATGAAAAAGCCAATAAAGAGATGAGATAAATACTGAGATATACATTTAAAAATCAACTGGTGTCACATAGAGAATTTGTGACTGGGCAGGGTGGCTCAGCCTGTAATCTCAGCACTTTGGAACGCCAGGGCAAGAAGATTTCCTGAGCCGGGGGATTGAGACCAGCCTGGACAACTTGGTGAGACCTCTCCTCTACAGTAAATCACAAAAACTAGCCGGGCATGGTGGCATGTGTCTTTTGTTCCAGCTACTTGGAAGGTTGATGTAGAAGGATCGCCTAAGCCCAGCAGGTCGAGGCTGTGGTGACCATGAGTGTGCCACTGCACTCGAGCCAGGGCGACAAGAGTGAGACTTCAACTAAAAAAAAAAAAAAATGTGTGAAGTGCTTTCAGAGTGATGCTGACACTTCTTTGTAACAAAAGTAGTGATGAAGGGCATTTGTATAAGAAAGGTGACTGTGGGTATACCCTTTCTATCATATGGCATTACTTGAGAAGCAAGTTACTGTAGTCTTAGAGACTTTTGAAGTTGAAGGCAGATCCGATTGATTGTATTGAAGTACTGAGCGGCACAGATAGAATATTTCTATCTGCACTAAGTTAGAAAAGTAAAATTGGAAAAGTAATACATTTATTTAGTTTGCAGGACAATGGCAAAACAAAAAATCAAAAGTGATAGTTATAAGCAGGAGCGAAGATGAGTTAGATTTAGACTTTTAAACAGATAAGTTAGAATAAACATTGATGTGGAAGAAAACGATAGTAGCAACAGTGATATCCCACCAAGAACAAAATGGGCAAATGTAATAGAAAGTGATAGTGATGAAAGTGTTAGTGGTTTTGAAATAGAAGGCAATGTATCGTCAAGTGAAAAATGGGAAGACGTTACAGAAAAAGACATCCTCCAGCAAGAAAAAATTTTGTTTTACATCTTCAAACAACAGGATCACAAGTAGCAAATAATAAAAGAGAACCAATTGGCCGGGCTCGGTGGCTGTAATCCCAGCACTTTGGGAGACTGAGGAGAGTGGATTGCCTGAGCCTGCAGGTTAACCAGCCCAGGCTGCTTTGCAAGACTTTGTCTCTACAATAAATAAAAAAAAAAATTAGCTGGTTCTGTACTTCCGGCTACTTGGAAGGCTGAGGCAGAAGGATCACCACAGCCCAGCAGGTGGATGCTGGGATGGCTGTGAGTGTGCCACTGCACTCCAGCTTGGGCAGCAGAGTGAGACTCCAACCCCTCCCCCCCGAAAAAAGAACCGATTGACTATTTTACTCTATTTTACAAATAAATTAGTGGGTAGTATAATAAAAGAAACAGATTGTTATGTGGATGAAAAAATAAGGAAAAAAGCAGCTGTCACACAGATCTATTTGGCATAAGTGGCATGATGTTGACCGGCAGGAATTTTTAGCTTTTACTACAGTTATCCTAATGTAGGCGGAAGCAAGTGAGACTGCATTGTTTACTTGAATATTCTATTCAAGACCAGGTGGAAGTTGTCAAATTACTACTGCACAACATATATCAATGAACCTGTAATCCATATCTGCAACTGTTTCACATGTTACCACACATTAGAAAAATATAAGATACAAAATTTTGATTTTGTGTTATAAGTTCCTCAATGTCCAAAATTTCATTATAAACCAAATATAACAATAAAACAATTTATTCCTATGTTATTTACTGTAAAGGGATTCATTTTTCACTATTTTGTAAAGTACAGTTGAGTTGCTAGTAGGTGATGTGCTAGATATCTCCAGGTGCAAAGGGTTAAACGTGATTTTTGATTTAAAAAAATTCAAATATTAAACATGGTTCATTTTATTTTTTTATATTTTCGAGTTTTATTATTACTAGTAGCAGCAGTAGTAGAGATGGGAGTCTTATTGTGTTACCCAGGCTAGTCTCAGACTTCTGGCATCAAGAGATTCTCCTGCCTTGTGTGACCTACTGCACCTTGCCTTTATTTTATTTTTTGATGTTAACTTCAGGGAAACCAGTATGTGCATCTTTTGTAACTGTCAACTATTTGAGAAATAAAAAGGAAAAATACTTTCCCCTAGTTATTTGATCATACAATTGCCTTTTCCATTTTCTTTGAAGCCTGCCAAACATCTAGAACGGAAGTTGGCAAACGGCCCACTGCCTGTTTTTTGTAAGTAAAGTTGTATTGGAAATAGATACTTATTATTTGTTTACAAATTGCCTGTGGCTACTCTTGTACTACTGACAACAGGGGTTGAGTAGTTGTGACATATGCTTGCAAAGTCTAAAATATTTACTCTCTGTTCCTCTACAGAAAAGTTTGCTGACTCCTCATATAGGAGGATAAATTAGAGTAGGAAACAGCAAATTAAATTTGAAGTTGGCCAGGCTCGGTGGCTCAGCCTGTAATCCTGCACTCCCGTCTGAGCGACAGAGTGAGACTCCAACTCAAAAAAAAAAAAAATGAAGTTGAATTTTAAAACCTTTAGAAAATGATGGTGGCTTTTTTTTTTTTTTTGAGTTGGAGTCTCACTCTGTCGCCCAGAC